TTTTTTTTTTGGTCAGTGTTGTTGAGAATGCACCTGTTGTGTTTGAATAATTTTTACTGGAATTGTTAACTGACATAACCAAACAGGTGTGTCGCACATTAGTATTTAGCATGAACGCCGGCACATACAGGGTGAGTCGTAGAAGGAGCGGGTGCTATTAGGAAAGGCTGTTTGAATTGTGTAGTTTGAGTCAACACGGTGTAGCTGGAATAGAAAAACAATAATAAAATATCAGATCAGTGGAAGTTATTTTGTCTGAAATGGCTGAATGTGTAACAGCGTTTAGGTTTCTTACACACAGTTAGGTAAAGGTTTAAAAATGGATGGAAATTGCAATCCTTGGACTTGAATCATTTTTTTGATCATTTTATACTACAATGATAAAATGATTTCCACAGCCCTAACATCTACTGCATTGTGGTATCCATCCACTCACGTCTTTATTTTCCTTCATGCATGTTATCACTGATGTAGTTTTGCTACACACTGTCCTCCCACTGACCTCAAATCACTATTCTGCTAATGTGTGATGCCACCACCAAGAGCACCATTAGGACTCCTGTGTGTGTTTGTGTGTAGAGAGCAAGAGAAGAAGAGTGTGTGCACCATGTCCCTGTTTGATTTGTCCTTCACTTCTCCTGTTGTAATAATAGACTCTAGCAACGCCAGTAATTTGTGTGTTCAGCAGTAGATAACCTTCAGTGTTTGTCCTCTTCACAAAGTGATGTAAACTGCTTTCTTTCCTATCTGATGTTGAATCTTATAAAAATCTGATTTGAAAGCTGTCCCCCCTCCCCCTGGATTACAATTCCTGGTTAGCAAGTGCCTCTGTGTGAGTCTAATCCAGTGCTCCTCTGTGTAGCGAGCTAGTAGTTTGTAGTTTGTGTGTTATTGTTTTGTGATGTTTTAGAAACATAATTGTCGTGGTTGTTCTTCCAGGCGCACGCGCACCTCGAGCACTTGTTGACCAGAAGTCTTCAGTGATCAAACACAGTCCGACTGTGAAAAGAGAATCGCCCTCTCCTCAGGGCCGGGTAAACAACACGAGGTAGTAAACGATTTTAGATTAAAAGTATTTCTTAATTCTTTTGTATTTGTTAAGCTAAAGGCTTTAGATTGGATGCATTTTAATTGTTGTGTAATTGCTGTGTTTAGTGTGACTGAACCTGTGTTATGTCCATTCAGTGAGAACCAGCAGTTCCTTAAGGAAGTAGTGCAGAGTGTTCTGGATGGTCAGGGAGTGGGCTGGCTCAATATGAAAAAGGTGCGCCGCCTGTTGGAGAACGAGCAGCTTCGTGTGTTTGTGCTGAGTAAGCTGAACAGAGCCGTCCAGTCGGAGGAAGACGCCAGGCAGGAGATCATTCGGGATGTGGTGAGATCTTTGTTCTTGCCTGTACCAGGAGTATTTTAAACCTGGGCTATATTTTCTCATTTTGTTTAGTCTAAATGATTAATCTGGACAAAAACATTTGGAATTGGTCCAGTGTTGAGCCAGAACAATATAGAAGGAAGTTCTGAAACAGTATTCTAAGGCTCTGCTGTGTTTGATGTCAACCTGCCAGGCTTTTGCATATACAGATGCAACAAAATAAGCTAACCACAGTTCCACCACTCTGCAGCATGTTAAAGCACTTATCTGTTAAAAGTGCTTGGCTGTAGGATTTCTTCTCCTTTTTCACTTGCGGTCGTTATTTCGTTTGAAACATAATCACTGCAAAAAGTGACGAAAGAAAGAAAGAAAGAAAGAACAGCTTTTCAATAAGAGTCCTAGCCCCCCATAATGTATACATACATTAATGTATAACATTATGGTATCCTTTCTGCCCTCTCCACCCATCCCTGGTTGGTACTCTTTGAGTTCGTCACACTGTTGGCTTCCTGCAGCTGCTTCCATCACACAAGATTTTCGAGAGCAACTTATCCGGCATGTTTTTATGGTGTATAAACACTTAGAAGAACAGTGAACTTTGAGGGTTTTTTAAATTTTCAGAATATAACTATTGGAATAATAATTCCATGAGATTATATATTATATATGAAGTGTTTCAATCTGGGACTTGCTCAAAGTATTGTTTGCCTTTAATAACTGAGACTTGTTTAAGGTTTTGAAATGATAGTCTTTGACGATGGAAGCTTGTAGTGTTGTTTGTATTTTTCTATTGAGGTTTTCAGTAGAAACCATGTTACTGTGTTTTGTTCCCAGGAGGTGAACAGGAAGGTGTACAAAGGCATGTTGGACATCTTGAAGTGCACCGTTTCCAGTCTGGAGCACTCCTACACTAATGCAGGCCTCGGGGGAATGGCCAGTGTATTCAGCCTGCTGGAAATAGCACGTACACATTATCAAACCAAAGGTATGTCTCATGCTTTTAACACGGAAGAGTGGAAATGAGTGAGTTAGAGGATTTTTTTATTTTTATTTTTTTTTAACTTTTCTCAGCTTTTTTAAGATTCTTTGTGCTGAGGAGTGTAACGGCAGCGAGCCTGTGCTACTAACACGTGTCCGTCTTTGCACTGTTTATATTAAGCTTTGTGTTGCATGTTAGACTTCGAAGCACTAAAAGTGTGATTTTTCTTACTTTTAATCGATTCCCAGTTTAACCCGCCGCTTATTTTGTTTTTCTGTAATTTTGATGACCTCTGTTTTTGGCCCCTTAATTTCCGTAACTCGGTAGACCCAGAAAAGCGCAAGCGAAGCCCCACAGACAGTGCTGGCAGCCCAGGGAGTAAAGAGAGTCCTTCTGGTCGTATGGAGACTGCCAGACCTCAGGGCCTTCTGAATATTCCCCACCTGCAGCTGCCACACCACACAACGGGCAAAGGAGCCCGCCATTTTGATACCCGGAGTCTGAATGAGGAGAACTTTATTGCCTCGATTGGTGTGTACACCACTCCAGCCCGGTTGCATGTGCACTGTAAAAATCCCCTCCCCCTACAAGCTCATCACCCTTAATACCAGTCTCCCTCCCCTCCTCCAGCCGTCTCAAAGAAAGATCCCCTCACTTGTCCCAGACTCAGATTCTTGCAGGGCAATAATATTCCACACATTTTGACTAAAAATAATCGCAAGAGTGGGCAGCCAAACTAAAAAAAAAACAAAACGACAATAATAACAATAATGTCCTGCTTAGATGATTTTCAAAATTCAAATTCAGAATGAGCTCTTGGTTGCAGACATGATGAAAGCCTTGCAAAGTGTCTGGAATATATCCCTGTCTTTCAGCCTGGACTGCGTGTGCTTGTCTCCCTTCCCTTAAACATCTGTGCCCCTGTTTGCCTCCTTCCCAGAGTTCTGTCGTTAGCCTCTCGGCACCTTGAATGCATGTCATTGTTTTGGTCTTCCAATACGTAAATCTGCAGTAGTGGATGAGGGAAACCGGAGGTATGCGCATCAGTAGTCGAGACTGCCCTCACTGCAGGTTTTCTGCAAGGCGTGCTGTAGAAAATAGCAGCTCCCTTTGCTCTCAGCATGGAGGGTGGAAGAATCACTCCCCAGTAAACAGTCCCAGTAAGAATGCAAACGTCACCTAAGAAGCTTTTCTATTGGTCCAGATGGAAGTAACTGGGAAAAATCTTTAATAATCTCTTCAGGATTTCAATTTCCAAAAGTTATTCTGGGTCTGTATACAGGGGACTTTCTCAGCTAAACCACCCTGACGCCTCTCCTACCCATACCCCCTTCTTTTCTTGTTAGAAGCTGCACCTTCAATTCTACAGAAAGCTGTGAGACTTGCATCCTTCTTCTGCTTCTGCAACTGCTCCATTTCACATGCTGGCTAATCGGCCTCTCAACCTCATCCCATGCTCTTTTCCAAATCAACCATCTCTCTCACTCTTTCTATCTCCTGATCTCTCTCTCTTGCTGTCTTACTTGTGCTCTGGAGAGCCAGACAAATGCAATAAATGCAAATCAGTGGCCTGTAATTGGAGCAAAAGCTCATTCTGACGTCACTGTGTGGCTCTCCAGGACTTTGTGCCAGGAACTACGGGTGTGTTGTAATGTTCCCTTAGTAGCTGTTACACATGATGGATTCAATGTAAAAAAATAACAGTTCTTTTTCTATTTTTTAAAATGTTCCAGATTAAAGCAGAGCTACATGCAAACATTACAAAATACCTCCCGTCAATATTGACAGATTCTCAATGCTTACTTTGTTTTGCTTTTGATTTGAATGCTCATCCACCATACATGCCTTTTCAACCAGCTCTCTGACTCTCTCTCTGTCTTTCTCTCCTTGCTTGCAATGCATCTTGGGTAGAATTGTGGAGCAAGCACCAGGATAAGCAAAAAGCTATGGAAAAACAACAGAGTAAGAGACTTTTCACACACCAAAAAAAAGGATTAGGGTGTTCAGCTGCTGACCTTTTTTTCCTGCCGCCTTCTGTCTACCTTTTCAAACTTACCAGGATCTTTTATACATGAATAAATAAAAAAGAAATGAAGGAGAATAACCCAAGAAATATAGTTACACAGGTCTTGATTTTACTCTTACAAATAAAATGTGTATCAGGTTGTTTTTTTTTCTGTAAAATAATTAAGGCTAAAGCATTTTACACAAATACAATACTTTTAGGGAAAAGAAAGCCTTTTATTTTCAAAAATGCCATGCTGTGTTTAATAGAGACTGTTTCCAAAATCTTGTGGAACTTAATTGACATTTAAAAAAAAATGGGAATTTCATTTTAGTTACTGGCTTTAGCTCCAGCAATATGTCATTTTGTTTTACCAGTGTGTTTCTTTTTCCTTGCAAACATGCATTATGATGAACAGATATGAATACCTGCTGCCCTGTCCTCCTCTTTTAACTGTATTCTTTCCAGTTTCAAGTGGCTTTCTGTAAACTGTGTGTTTGCAGCCAATATTTCACAGGTACACTTAAAAGGCTTATGAAATGTTAGAAAAGTTAAATGTCACAAAATCCCAGGGGAGGGGGGGAATGAAAAAGGAACAAGGAAGGGTCAGGATGTATTTGTCACCATCTGCACCTGCGGAGGTGACGGAACAAATTGCAAATCACACTTGAAACAGAAAATGTCTCCTTTACCGTCCATCAGTTTGTCTGCATGCCTAACTGCCTGTGTCTGTTTTTGGTGTAACTTGGGCCACATTTGCAGCATTGACTGAGACGTAATGTCACACGCTCTGGCAGTTTTGTTTTCATTTGTAACTTTTTCCCAATTTTACTGCACTCTGCTTGCCCCTTCTGTCTTTTCTCTGTCTGGTCTTGAACAACTTAAGCTGTTTTTTTTTTTCATTATAACACCAGTATTTTATATGGAAAGATAAAAATAAAATAATTAGAACTTTTTTTTTTTTTTAAGATTCAGGAATTATTTATTTTTCTTATTCTTACATTATTTTTCAGATAGAGTGAGGTTATGGCACCAAGTCTTTGATACCAAACTTTGATAAGCTAGCGTTATACTGTATGCTTTGCTGTGCACAAGTGCAATGCAGTGTTTAAATTGAGGCTTTGGCACTTCAGATGGATGTAGCGTCAGTGTCGCTGTGCTGTGCTGGCTTTGAGTGAGGCGGCTCTGAATAAGGTAAGAAGGCAGCGTAGTTGTCTTCATGAAAATGTGCTTATAATCATGCCTATTTTGCAGGGTCAGAAGGAGCAAAGCAGCAGCGCCCCCAGGTGACAGATGCAGAGGAGAAGAAGTCCCAAATCAGTGCTGATAGTGGCCTGAGTGTAACATCTGGATCTCAGGTTTGTATATGCAGCACTGTGCGAAAACCTGTGTGAAGCAGAGAGAAGATTAAACTAGGTTTAAAAAATAAAAGCTTAATAGTTCAATCTAATTCCCCAGTCTTTGTATATGTTTTTGCCAGAGCCTGTAATTCTTGTAGTATTCAAGTTTTGATGTTGCTCCTTAAATGTCATAAAACTGCTTCCCTTAAAAATACTACTAATAATATAAAAATACCACTGTATTGTTTTTTTCTTTTGGGTTACAGAAGAGTGACACTGAATCTGTAGCAAGCTCAGAGCCACCGATCCTGACAAGGAGCACCAGCCAGGAGTCAGAGGCCAGCACAGTGGTAGGGCATGGCCAACTCAGATATTAGTCACTAAATTTCTGTTTATTCCACCTACAAAGTAATTAAAAAAAAAAAAAAAAAAAGAAGCAAGAAATGTGGGTGGTATGTGTTAGCATATTGTTAGCTGTAATCAAACAAACCAGTCCTCTGAGAGCTGTGACGTTGCTGTTGCTAGGTTATAGATTTAGTGAAGACTGAAAATGCCAAATGTCCTTAGATGATGAGTTTTCAGCCTCTCCATGAACAAAAGTAATTATATAAAAATGATGCAGATGTCATTCTCAAAGAGTGCAACCATTTAAAAACATGTAGTCATCATACAGTGATGTTAAGAAGAATAAAAATGGGCACCTCACAGTCACTGAATACCATCGAGTCAAATCTAAGGCTATTGGTTCTCCAGCTAAAGCTTGTAGGGCAGTAGGACAATGATCCCAAGCACAGCAGTGAATCTATAGCGGCTGAAAAAGAAAAGAATTAAGATGTTGCAATGGACCAGTTGAAGCCCAGACCTCACTATGATTGAAATGATGTGGCTGGTCTTTATCAGACCTGTGCATAGGAGAAATGCACATAATCCTCAATGAACAGAAACAGCAGTATCAGAGTAAAGAAGTGTGTTGTGGCCAAAATTCTTCCACAATGTGAGAGGTTGATAAAAGTACACAGAAAAAAACATAATTTCAAGGTATTTCTGATTAAGGTGGTTTTTAAAACTGGTGTAGTGCTGGGTTAAGATGAGGAATATGTTGCATAACTGTTTAATTTATTTTGCGTGATTGTGCTTTTTTTTAAAAAAATTTTTTTATGTTTTTTAGTAACTAAATACTCCCAAGAATAAACCTTCCCCACTTCTGTATTGTTCTTACACCTTGGTTCTTACTTTGTAGATAAGCAATAGCTCTGGAGAGACTCTCGGAGCTGACAGTGATCTGAGCAGCACAGCAGGCGATGGCCTTGGCGGGAGAACCGCCCCCCATTTAACTCAGTCCAGGGGGACTCTTTCTGACAGCGAGATTGAAACCAACCCAGCCACCAGCTCAGTGTTTGTAAGTAAAGGACTCACTGTTGGGGAAATGTGTTTATGACTTCACAAGTTAAAATAAGTGAAAGCTTCACAAAAGGTACTGGGCCTTGGTGGGATTTCAAGGTTCAGTTGAAGTTCAGTTAGAACCAGTAGAGGTTAAAACCTGAAAAAGTTGAAGTGGAAAATAGTTTTTGTTTCTTTAACTAAGATTAAACTAAGGAAACCTACAGCTTCCAGCAATTCAGTGTTCGTGTTGCGTTAAAACACAAGTGGTGTCAAAGTATTTAAATGAATTTAAGCTAGTTTTCTATATTTGCACATTTGCGAACATATTTGGGGTGATTGCAATAACTTCTGATTCACTTTGTGTTTTTTTCCAAAGGGGAAGACCCACACTCTGAAACCTGGTGTAAAAGATCATTTACCTGCCTTGGCAAAGGTGCTACCTGCACAGCCCATCGAGGACACTAGTATGAGGATTTACCTTTTCGAAGGCCTGCTGGGTAGGCTCCTGCTCTCTTGTTCTAAGGCTTTCTCTTACAGTTTGCTCCAACAGCTGATGCTTGGTAAAAACTTGCTTTCTGTTCTTTGTTGCTGTACTAACAACTTAAAATTGGTCCTTCCACTAAAGTAAAGACAGCAGCACTTTCAGTTACCCCTTACTTACTTTAACTTGCGCAACTTCCTAATTTGGTTTGCCAGTTAATGTAATCACAGTGAACTTTCACTAATTT